TATCTGTTCTTATCAGCTTAATATCTGATACGCACTCCATTGGAGTGCCAGAATATTAAACTGATTTTTGGAAAAAGGTGGATTTTTGGAGCTTGCTCCAAGTCGACCACGAGTTGTCCTGGTATTGCAGTACCGCCAGGCACGGCTCTCTTTGATTTATTATAAATATAATCTATCTTTTTCTAATTAATCAGTTAATTCGTGGAGTGATAAAGTCATTATATCGGTATTTGAGGTTTCTGATACGAAATCGCAAACATGGTTCATGGATCCGTTCGGAGGCCGTGGTGGTGGGTCATCCCGACGGCGGACCTTGCCGATATACTCACAATCTCCCATGCCTTCAGGATGCTTTCCTGCAGGGATGGGATCATCGCGGGGGTCGCCAGGGGGTCGCTGTGGGAGGCGGTACAGCGTAGGACGGGTCATAACCCATCACCGGAAGAGGTAGGCCCAGAACTCCGCGCCAGGGCCGAATGGGATAACATACGCGGACATTAAGCGTTTTGATCACGGCGCGAAATTGACCACGGCAGTTTTCAACGCTTGCCTCCGGCTTAAAAAAATCCCCGGCTCGTGGAAAACGTCCAACACGGTTTTGATCCACAAAAAAGGCGACAGGAATGACATTGACAACTGGCGTCCCTTAGCTATGGGCGACACGAACGCTTTTGGGTCTATTCCCCATGCCGTAATTTTCGACGCGCTAAGGGGAATGAAAATTCCCGATGAATTTACCGACCTCATCATCAATATGAACACAGGCGCGACCACTCGTGTTAGGACAAGGGAGGGCTTCACCGATCCCATTCCTCTGAAAGCGGGAGTGAAACAGGGCTGCCCTGCGAGCCCAATCATTTTCAACCTCGCGATGGAGAGGATCCTCCGCGAACTAGATAGGCTAACAGCGGGCTACAGAATGGGGGGGGTTTCTTATCGATCCTTCGCCTATGCCGATGACGTTGTCCTGGTCGCGAACACGCCGGAGGAAATGCGGGAGATGCTGCGGAAGAGGTAGGCCGCTACCTGTCGGGCTCGCGTGAGGATCCGTTTGGCACCAATTTCGGCGGTGACCCGGGATTCTGGGCGACGGTGAGGGCGGCAACCCAGAGACAGTCTCACCGACTGGAGGCCAGCTGGCACCCAGGGCCCAATAACGACCTGGAAATCAGATGCAGGGGAAGGGAAGGCCGACCCGTGATCATCCCCCAAGCCTCTGACAACCAGGGTGCCCAGGAGTACTACCTGGCCTCCCTACTGGGTAAACCTGACCAGGGTAAAGTTTCCCACCTCTCAGCGCACTCAGGCATGGGTAATGCGTTTGTAAGAGATGGGAAATTCACGCGATTCGCGGACTGGCGGTTTATTCATAGGGCCAGGCTGGGGGTGCTGCCTTTAAACGGCACGATGAGATGGCGGAACGGGGACAAACGCTGCAGGCGGTGTGGATACTCTAGCGAGACGATCCCGCATGTCCTGCTATTACTACATGTATTCTAGACTATACACATGAACACTGCGACAAAAAAAAATGAAATAAAATGTATAAACTATTTTTGTTGCCCATGGACCTCAGAGTCCTACCCAACCCCTTGGAGGTATTGTCTCCCTGGGGCAGTGTATTGAATTTTCCATGGAAAATAAACGTTTTTTATCTGTTCTTATCAGCTTAATATCTGATACGCACTCCATTGGAGGATGCTCAGGGTCTCGAACTACTACGCCTCGTTCATGAGGAGGCTGATTGTCGCGGACACCATCAGATGGTCCAAAGACATCTATGTTGAGCATGTCTCTGGAAACAGGGCGTTGGACAGCGGGGAGGCATCCGATTATCTTGGCATACCCATTGGAGTAGACGTGAATCAAACCCCTAGCAACCATCGAGGGCGTGCTGATCGATGCGGAGAAAATCGACGAGTTGCTACTGGCCCCATGGCAGAACATTGATCGTGGCCTTCAGTAGAAACCGGAATATAAATACAAACAAAAACATGTAAAGATTTTATCCTAAGTCTCTGGAACTCATTAGATATTGTAATAAATGGCTAATTTACTCTTTTTGCATTCTATCATTTATACCTTCTCTTGTTAATTCAATATCCATCCTCTGATATGCATACATGGTTCCCATGCTATTGGTATGTTCTGGTCCTGACATGTTATCTTCACCTCAACCTAATAAATCGACTTCATGTTTGAACGCATTAATCAGTTTTATTTACAAGTGTTATAATGCTATAATCATCGATAAATAATTCTGAATTATTAATAGGTCAAAGACAGTTCAATGACTAGAAAATAATAATATATACAATTATTCCTCTGAATAAAATCTCACGACGATTCCAAATGAATTAACATAATTAATAGTTTACTGAGCAAATGATTAATCTATTAATTGATAAATTCATAGAATCGGAAGAATTTTTTTGACTAGAGGACAATTAACAGACACAACTGTCGACTCCTAGACACGTGTAGGATACCGGTTCAATTTTTGAACCAGTTGTTGATTCCAAAATGGTAGTTGTCTGCGTATTTGTAGTTGCAATGGGCAATTGGGTGCGCTGCGCCGACTCGAATGACACAACTCCGGACGAGTCCTTTGCCCTCGTTGAAATCTCCTCATGGGCGTAACCCGATCGCACTGCGTCCTGCGTTCTGATGTCCAGGGGTAGCTCGTGACTTGTCAAACGACTGTAGTTTGCAAATGGATCTGGATACGGTGAGCTCGAGGGGTGATAATGATGTGAATGATTACTCGGGTACTGGTGCGAGTGGTGAGGGTGATAGCGACTCGGGGGTGTCTTGAACCCCTCGTTTGTACCCAAGTACTGATGAAGATGGTGTAAACTCGATGAACCATAAACTGAAATAACAAAGAATATTCTAATCTTTTATGCGATTTTTGGGATTTCGACAGTCAGAGTAATCGCCTCAAAGATCGATTAAAAAAATTAATGTTTATATTCACCCGCTGCTGTATTCGAATACATCGCGAGGACAGCATCTCCATAGCCAGTGGGATGTTTGGTATCATTCGTTTCATTGGGGATACTCGAGGATTTCACAGCCCCAGAGTGGCTCCTAATGACATTTCCTTGAGTTTCACCGGATAGGGTGGACCCTCCAGCGCCATAAGCCATGTTGAATAGCGCTTCTGGATCGCACACAAATTTATAGACATATCGCTCACCAGCTACCTTTTGCATGATGCCTTTTTCGTAATAGTAACGGAGAGAACGACTGAGCTTGTCGTAATTCATGGCTGGTCTGTTCTTTTGAACTCCCCACCGTCGTGCAACCTGTCCCAAAATTTATCCATTAAAAAAAAAATGAGAGGGCAAAAAAAAATACCCACCCTGTGGGGAATAATAAAATATGCAGCCCCAGGAAAAAAAATTACATAAAGATTAAATTTCAAAACAATAGAAGTTGTCGCGTTGGAAGACAACGGGAAGACTCAGAACGACAAATTTTTCGATTCGGATTTTTCGGGTCAAATTTTTTTTTTGGGCATTCCCATATTACCTCTTCAGGTTCAATCAACTTGAATTCCATTCCACGTCCAGTCCAGGCAATGCATGGAGCATTGGCTGGATCATCTAAAAGAGCCACTAAAAATTGCCAGAGTTGCAGAGAACCTCGTCGCTGCTGCTGGTACCTGAGACGAAATATTAAACTCTTTGAAAATATGTTCCCAATTTTTTAAACAATTCAACATTAGCTTAACGAAAAATTTACCCAGAAGCAACATCACTCCAGGAAGTGAGTCCTGTACTGGAGGGCGGTCTTTTTATGTAGTCTGCGTTCCAGGAGGTCGTGGGGGAGTTCCTCTTCTGGTAACAAGAGCCCTGACGCTCCCAGGAGGAGGTCCTGGCGTCGGGCTGGGCTCCAAGCTCCGTCCAGGTGGGTGTTGTACTCCTTTTGGAATAATCCGTCGACCAAGACTCCTGACGAGTCAGAAAACTCGACTCGGTCGATGCTGCTGCACTCGGCTGCACCTGGGGCCACTGAGATGTTGCCGATGATGCACTTGCAGGTCTACTCGATGTCGGTGAATCCCTGCGTTCTCTCTGGTTCAATAAATTTGTCGTGTACTGCTGCTGTCTCTGGTAAATTAAACTCCTCGCTGAAAAAAAAAATTCACCATCGAGGATCCATTTAGTTTAAAAATTTTTAATCATTAAATTATTTATTTTATTCATAGAATTCCAAAAATATTTTTAAATGGCAATAAATTCTGCTATGTACTATTCCATATACTACCCATGTGTACCCCAATTGTTTTGGAATTAATACCTACGTTTAGTAATTGATGGTTAAGTCAGGTCATTGTCGTAAAAATTTATTTCCCCAACTGGAGCCCCGAAAGAAGCTTAAAAGGGTTGTTTTACCCCTCTCCCTTAAACATTTGAATAATTAACCGACGGATTTGCCGCGTCGACGCACGTTACGTCGCAGGTCCCCACGGTGGATCGACCGATGTGATTCCAGCGGATCCGCTTCCAAGCAATCCGCATTCATTTCCATTTTTTTCTATTTTTTTTTTGTCTATTTGGTTCACCTCCGAAATGCTTTTAATTGTTCAGGGGGTTGAGCTCGCATGGGAAATTTTACGGGTATTTTTAATCCGATTCCTTTTAAAATCAGTAGAGTAGATTTTCCAGAGTTTAAATCATTTGGAATTCTGAAAACGTACGGGAGAGCAAAAAAAATGGAGTAGACGATAGGATATCAGAGATGACACTCACGTGCCATCGACACTGAAGTGTTTCCCCGTGAAAATATCGACAGGAAATTGGTTGATATTCAAAGCCCTCGTACTTCCGCCAATCAATCGTTTTGGATTTTTTCAAATTCCTTCCTTGCCGCATCTAATTAATTCCGGAACTTCCAGCTTTGTTTCATTTCATTTTGTATCTTGATGGAGAATCCATGATTTACACCATCCATGGTAATTTATTATTACAATATTTTCAATCTCCAATAAAATGTAATACTTTTTAAAAAAAATCCAATTTCCCCATTTTGTTTCTGAGTTATGGGTGTAAAAAAAAATGACTTATTTACGCCATTTTTCCGCACCTTAATAATAAAAAATTCTCGTCAGCATCATCAGTAATTAAAACAATTAGTCGCAACAATTTTTATTCAACATGAAAGTATCAATTTCTATCTTATCACAAGAAATCAAAATATTTATTATTTTACTGGTGTTTTTTGAATAAATTATATTTTTGAATGAAAAAAAAATACTGGAGTTACAATTTTAAACGTATTTCTCAGCTGAATATGCATTCGAAAATATTATTGTTTGCAGCACGTGGTAAATATGAAGCGAAGAGATTTTGCCGGGAAACACGTGCGTGCGCAACCGGTGGTTAGCAGTCCCGCAGTCAGTGGGCCGCCATTAACGGAACGCCAAAACTCCCGGGACCTCCGTTAATTTTCCGATTTATCGCCCCGATATTTTCATTTAAAACAAGTATTAACCCCGCGAATAGTTTTATTAATCAGTGCTCAGTGTTGTTATAAAAAAAAATCTCGAAAACTTCTCGTCTAAACTCAGAAAAAAGTGTTTTTTCCCTCAAAAAAAAACAATTGACTACATGAATACAACAACCGTCGAGATCTCAGTGTTGCAGCTAGTGAAAAAAACCATAAGAAGTGTGCAAAGAATCCAAAAAGTGTCTAATCCGAAAGCATTAACACAAACATCATCATAAACATCTCGACCTTGAGGTTCATTGTCATGGACAATGAAAAAATACCGAAATTGTGTGAAAGCTGGCGAGAAGTGGTAAAACCCGTGTGAAAAATATTGGCCCTAAAAAATAGGGATTTTGTTAGTAAAAAAAGCGCGGGGAAAATGTTTTTAGAAGTGGTGGGGGTACGTGACGCCGGCAGGA